CGTCCACCCGGGTCTCGTCCCTCTGGCTGCCAGGCCTGCAAAGCACAGGGACAACACTGAGCACTGGGCACTGAAGGCCAGCTCTGCCTTCCCAAACCATGCATGTGTCGGGACCCGCCGCTGCTCTCCATGTCCACAAACACCATGGGGCTCTTCAGGACAGCACAGGGGCAGGCACGACTTTACAGTCATCTTGGGGCTTTGCCATCACATCTCCAAAATAGGAGGACAGGCAGTGAGTGGCAGCCCTGAAGCTCAAGGGAATCAGGCTAAAGGTCCCTAAGGACGAGGGGATCATGGACAAGGTCCGGCCTCTGTGGACTAGGTGTGAGCATAACATGAACCTTATGAATTTCCCCATCACTGGTGGACATGCCCAGGAATACTCCAACACAACCCATACCTGAAGGCTGTTGTTTGACATCCCTGGAAATCGGGGCCAATGCTGGTGTCCTTCAGCAGGCGGTCAAGCTGCCAAGGAGAGAGGTTTTCACATTTAAATACTGCACAGCCCCTGAAAACCCCCCAAAACTTATTGAGGCAGAGGGGGCAAGGCAATGTCCCAGTGATGGTCCACTCACCAAGGAGTTCATAACACGCTGTGCAGACTTGAACCTTGCTGAGTCTGGATTCTCCAGGTCAGAATTGTAGGGGAGGTTGGTGATGGTGAAGTTGACGGTGAAACGCTCGAGGGTGGCAGCTGTCGGTGGTGGGTGGGTGGGAGCTGGAAGAAGCACAGATGGGAATGACAAGGAGTAAGAGCCAGGGTTTCAATGCTTTGGCTGGAGAAGAGCAGAGGTCTCGTGCCAGCCGTGCTCTCATTTCAAAAGGCTTTCATGCTCCCTTCCTCTCCCCATGATCTGAAGCTCCAGCCCCAGACTTCCTGCCAAAAGAGGATCCCCACAAGGCAGTTGCTGCCTGTTGCTCCCAGCCCACTCATACAAGGTACTCACTGGGCAGGACTGGCTGTTCGTTGTAGCCTGGGAAAAGAGAGACAGACAGAGGGTCAGAAGGTACAGCTGGGCAAGGGGCAGCACTGGGGGAGGGCTGGTGGGGGAGAGCAGAGGTGGCAGAGAGAGCAGCGTGGGTCACCGTTGACGTAGAGGCTGTCCTTGTCCAAGCTGTAGGGGCCCAGCTGGCTGATGCCTCTGGTCTTGTTGCTCACTTGGTGGTACAGGCCCACCCTGTCCAAGGCTGCAGCCGAGGGCTCCTTCCTGTAGGTGCACACGGCGTCCACCCGGGTCTCGTCCC